CCTCCCGGCCAGGTGTGGGATATGATCTCCTGGTGTGCCTGTTTGCTTAAAGCGCAGTATTGGGGTGGGAGTTACCCGATTTTCCAGGTGTTGTGTGTCTCAGTTCCCCTGGCTAGGAAAAGGGATTCCCTTCCCCCTTGCGCTTCCCAGGTGAGGCGATGCCTCGCCCTGCTTCAGCTCTCGCTGGTCGGGCTGCAGCAGCTGACCAGCACCGATCGTCCGGCACTCCCCAGTGAGATGAACCCAGTACCTCAGTTGAAAATGCAGAAATCACCGGTCTTCTGTGTCGCTCGCGCTGGGAGTTGGAGACTGGAGCTGTTCCTATTCGGCCATCTTGCTCCGCCCTCCGCCTTTCTCTGGTTTTAATAACATCCTTTCTATTCTTCCATTTTAACTCCTCTCTTAGCCTATTTCTTGAATTTTTTAGTGATGGCCGTAGAGTTTCCAACATGCATTTTAAAGTAGTCTAAATCCAACTTAAAATAACACTATTCCTCTTCATGTGTAGTTCAGCTGTCTATAATAGAGTGTTCCCAGTTCCTCTCTCTCATTTCTTATGACATTGCTGTCATTTATTTCACTTATCCATATGCTATAATCACCCAATTTATTGTTATTATCATTACTTAAGAATGGAATAAACTTCAGACTTCTATTCCTATAAAACTAATATATTGGTCAGATGCCTTTTACAAGTATGGATTCACACACAAAAATTCCTGGAGCTGTGACAAATCCATTTTATCAGAAATAAAAATGCTATTTACTTTTCCAAGAAATCATCTCAAGATGCTAATGTAGCATCCTTTATAGACTGATTTTTGGCCCTTCTTTGGGTAGAATTTCCTTTTTTGAATCCAAAGACAACTATTTGCCAAGCACCCAGCTATCACACCCATGGAGTCAAGAGCATGAGAGGTAAAAACAAAAAAAGACAGTGTGGACTGAAAATAAGTCACTGGGATGTCCACTGAATCTCACAGCAGGCACAGCACAAAGACAAATGATGATAGACCTAGAGGATTTTGTAACCCACCCTTTCTGGCGCATTCCTCAACATCAGAGACACCCCCCTGCCATCTCTCCAAATGCTTCCTTAATGCCGCCAAAGAAACAGGAGCCTGTCTAGGAACCTCCATCCAGTTCCTCATGTACCCACCATATGCTGGGCCTTCCAAATAAACAAGAAGTTAAGAAGTTCCAAGTTCATTAGGACGTCATCATTGCATTGATAATCACATGAAGAGTTCAGTGGTGCAGAAGCAATGCCACATATAGTACAAGTGATCTCTTCTATTAGAAATGAACCCCCAGGATCTCTTTAGTTATGATCCAGTAACAGAAAAGAAAATGATGTGAAGAAACAGCTTCCCTCTTACCGTTCATGTGTACTCCTTGTTACATAAACAGTATTTATGTTATGTTGTAGGGGTGAGAGAGAGAGGGGGGAAGAGTTGAAATAGTATTATGCGAAAGGCCACACCCAGGTACTAAGTCAATTGGAATGTTGGTCATCTGAAAATTCAAGGATGCCTTTTAGACAAAAATGTCCAGGCATTAAAACGAAGCTGTTTTCCTAATTTTTCAGCTCCTAAACTGGCTGCACATCATCTGGAGAGTTTCATAAAAGCCCTCATTCTAGAGGTTCAGGATTTAGTGAACAAATCTTTTAAATTATCCTCATCTACATTATTCATGAAATTGTAAGTTCCACACATTTCAGTCCTGTTCCTGTGAACTTTATTCTCTTGCACATGAAAAAATCTCAACCACCAAGTGTCTATTTGGTTCATTCTGCTACATGCTAGTTTCCCAGGGTTTGAAAACAGAAAACCTGCTCCTTATTTCCCTTTGATTGTATAATTAATCTGCAATAAATGAAGCCTCCAAGTGTTTTATGGCGCTTCAATTTCCCATTCCCCTCTGACATTTGGAGGGAAAATGGAACACACAGCAAGACCTTTGAACAAGAAGTAATAGCCGTTAAATTGAAACATGATGCAAGGTTTTCCTAACCGTGAGTTCATAATATGTGTATTCATGGACAATGATGTGCTTGTTGCCTGCAGCAAAACCAGATGCTCTGTTTTCAGTTGATCAGTGTTGCTAGGAGGTAGTAATACAATGACTGAATTCAAGAAAGAGAATTAAAGGAGCAGTGTCATAATTCTATTTCCAGATGTCCCACGATAAGGATGATGAGTTAAAATGCAGTGTGCTTTAGATTCCATTCAGTGGAATCTAGCGTAAAGTTATCAAAAGAATAATCATATTTGAAAAGTGAAACTTGGGATCGGATCCCAACTTTGCTACTTCCCAGCTATGTGTCCTTAGGCAAGAAGAGTAACAATCACTGTGACCCTTAAAACACTTAAAAGTATAGGAACACTGCCCAGTACCTGCTCAATAGAGGTTGTTTATTGAAGAAAAACGTAAAATGGACATCATACCATTATATTTAAATATCATATTTATGTTCTGTATATAGAGGTTGTATTGGTTTCCCAAGGTTGCCATAGCAAAATACCACAGACTGGGTAGCTAAGCTTCAGAAATTTATTTCTCACAGTTTCAGAGTCTGGAAGTCCAAGATCAAGGACCCAGCAGGGTTTGGTTTCTCCTGAGACCTCTTTCCCTTGCTCGCAGATGGTTGTCTTCTTGCTGTGTTCTCAAATGGCCTTTTCTCCATGCATAGACATCGCTGGTGTCTCTCTCTCCTTTTATAAGGACACCAATCATACTGAAATTGGATTACAGTCCTGCCCGTATGACCTCCTTTAACCTTAATTACATCCTTAAAGGCCTTATCTCCAACTATGGTCACACTGAGGGTTAAAGCTACAACATATGAAAGTTGGGAGTACATATACAGTTCATAACAGCGGTATTATAAATAGCATTTCATATACTATTACAAATACCACTTCAAAATGTAAAAACTAAAACACTTTTTATATCTTTCTGAGAAAGTCACTGGAAAATATCAAATCTAGTATGTCTTTGAATAATAGTAAATCATTTTTCTCTCCCACCCAATCTCTATGTCTACAAAGTAAACATCATTTTAAGGTCCTAAGATATGTAGATATTAGCTTCTCTGATTAGCTGTGACCGAGACCTGTTCTAGAAATAGGTACGTTGACTAGATATCTTTTCCTTGGAGCTAGGGTCCTAATTATTCCCTTTTTAAATGTCTTTCCACTAAAGTAAGAATTGAAGGGAAGAAAGATAATCCATGATAAATTCAGATATTGGGAAAATGTTCACAGGATTTTTAAAAACAACTTTGATAGTGACTCTTGTGATGTGGCGATTCTTCTATGTCTCATTCACTGCTACAATTAACTGTCCCATCTCCACAAATGGAGAGAATAACTGTGCTACCTACAACAGGTGTATAATTAACATGAAGTTGTTTCTGATATAGATAGAAATATCCACATAACCCCATTCTCTCCCCTATCTAGTCAACTGCTTTTATATTTGCTGAAGTAAGCATCCTCCAGTATCATTTGTATCATTCCGTTCCTTCTTACAAAAAAAAAAAAAAAATTAAGAACCTGTTATGGTTCCCTCTTATTTTTACTACTCATTTTTTTCACAAATTCCTCAGAATGGCCTTTGAAATGTTTCCCCAAATGTTTCCACCCACATCATCAGCATCATTTTTTATTCTCCTGCCCCCGCCCTGCCAAAACCTCCCACTACCAGGAGAGGGTAGATTTTCAGGCATTCTTTGCAAAGCCCAAAGCTGTGGGTGCAAACATGCATTAGGACAGAGTCCTGCTTGCTCAGACACCCTGTCTTTTCACCTTTGATTTCCTCAGTGCACCCAGGACAGGGCCTACTAAATAAAAGGTAAATAAAAGATCAGTAATAAAGAGATGTATGCCGCCTTGTTTCTTTCCACCTATTTAAAATCTGATTTTAAGTTTTCCCCTTCTAGATCTTTGAAAACAAACACCCTTGACTCTGACTACCCTTTGATTATGTGTTCCTATACTTTAGTTAGACCCCAGTAACAAGCATATACTGATAAGCTGCTTTGAGGATGTGTTTCATTAAAATGTGATTTAATAGGAGTGCCCCATGTCACCAGAAGGTAGAATAAGCCTTTATGCATAGTTCATTCAAATGTGTTTTTCATCAATAAAGCTAAATCAGTATTTCACTCATTTTGCAGCCCATATCACCTCTTATTTGTGAATATACAAACAGAGATAGTAGATGCAGCAATTTCTCATTAAACCATGTTTTTCAGTGCTTACTTTGTGGCAGGAATTGAGTTGAAGACCATACATACATGATTTTCCATAATCCCCATAAAAACGTTTGAAGGAAATTGAGGTTAAACCAGCTCACCCACTAACCCAAGGTCACATAGTAAGTCATGAAATCAGGATTCAAATGCATGCCAGCGTTGCATATTAATTCCCCTATGCTTTGGCGTCTTTAAAATTAGATTGTCTACTTATTCCTATGCCAAGGGAAAGATCTTGCAAGATGTTTCTCCTTCACACACACTACAAGGAAAGAAATCGATACACAGAGATACACTTACATTCTTTCTCCCTAAACACAGATAACTTTGAAGGAGAAAGAAAATCCTATTTAATTAAGTCAACTGGTTGGGTCTAAATTGGAAGAGATGCAAAGAGGTCATGTAGGTAAGTCCCTTGGTTAACAAATAAAAACATACCTTAAACATCCAAGATTAATTACTGATCATCTTTATACCATTAGGAGAGCCACTGAAAGACTGACACACAGACCTTCATATCCTTTAATAGGTCAGTATGGAACTGCCATGGGATTTTAGCAATTTTTCCAGAATTCTCTAGCATTTCTTCAATTAAAGAAAACATGTAGGTATGTGGAGCTTTTTACTGTTTGGGTCTCTTTATTAAATCCACCTAAATATTTTTCAAGACATTAATTACAGATTGCTTCAGTCTTTGCCCTGGTGAGAGGAAAAGATTGAAAACTGCAAGAGGAGATAATTTCAAAAAGACACAAAGTTTATTCTTCAAGAAGATTCAGAGAGTGAAAGGAAATGTTTTTTAAATACATCTGAAACTAAGAGGCTTTCATATGCCTGAGTTTTGATTGAAGTCTGGTTGGATGTGATTACAGGGAAGTCTTGATTCCACAGATGAGTTTTAATCCTGTTGGCAGAGGGAGAAAAGGGCGTCTATTTGCTAGCTGATTTTGTGTGTAGATCATCTCACTGCGTTTTGATTCAAAGGATACAGCATAAAATATTTCCTGCTTTGAATGAGTTGAAGTTGGAGAGAAAGAGAATATATTCTGAGTTTTGAGACACTTTATAGCTCCAGGGGATACCTAGCTGCTGAAAAACTGAATTTGTATTGCAAGGAGTAGAAATAACTCTTTACAGATTGTGTGTGTGTGTTGGTTTTACTGAATTTTTGTCTGTGTGAGGGTTGACTACAAAAGTCTCCATTGGCCAGGGTGGTGGCTCACGCCTGTAATCCCAACACTTTGGGAGGCCGAGGCAGGGAGGATCATGAGGTCAGGAGATCGAGACCATCCTGGCTAACAGGGTGAAACCCCGCCTCTACTAAAAAAAAAAAAAAAATAGCCAGGTGTGGAGGCGGGCACCTCTAGTCCCAGCTACTCAGGAGGCTGAGGCAGGAGAAAGGCGTGAATCCGGGATGCGGAGCTTGCAGTGAGCCAAGATCGCACCATTCACTCCAGCCTGGGTGACTTAGCAAGACTTTGTCTCAGAAAAAAAAAAAAAAAAAAAAAAAAAAAAAAATTCTCCATCAGGCCACATCCAAAGATCAGGAGTATAGTTGAGGAAAATTTGGCATACAAAGCTCAGGCAAGAGGTGCTACAAGGGTAGGAGAAATTGGTATGTCCATTCTCCACAAAATGCCAACTGGAAGTTTTGGGTAGTACAAGTTTGGAAAGGAAAATAAAAAAATCAGGGATAAACAAAAAAGATATCAGTGACTTTTGCCATGTGACTTTGCAGTCCCTCCCACTTAATGCTCCACTGAACCTCCTCGTTCCTTGTCTTTGGGATTTGCCTGTGACTTGCTTTGGCCAATGGAATGTCAGCAGCGGAAATGTTCTTGCTGGGCTGGGTTTTCACTCTTGTACTTCTGCTCCCACCACAAAAACAACATACCTCAAGTGGCTTACTAGACCCAGAAGGATGAGTGACACAGGAGAGATCTGACCCGAATCCATGTCCTGGAGAAGAGTTCAGCCAAGACCAGCGGAGATCAGCAGAATTACTCACTGTACACAAGCATTTGAGTGAGAATAAATGAGGGTGGTTTAAGCCACTGACTTTTGAAGTGATTTGCCACACAGAATTTTGCAGGATAATGAACCAATAGAGGCTTTTAACCTGTTTTTGTTCAAAGACTTCTTTGAGAATATGATAAAAGCTTTGGACTTTCTTCTTAGTAAAATCATATGCATAAATTTAAGATTTCGTATGCAATGTCAGAGGATTCCTTGACCCCCTACATTATCCATGGAGACCTGATTATTAAGAACACTTGCTTTTTCATATGTCTAATTAGTGTTGCCTCAGCAAACTGGTAGTTAAACTTAGAATAATATACAAAGGAGAAAAAAAAATGTGTCTGTTTTGTTTTGCAAATGATATTTAACCACTTCTTTCAGCGTGTTCTCTTTTCTTTCAGCACCCATATTCAATCTATGAGCAAATATTATTAGTAACACTTCTAAAGCTTTTTTTTTTTTTTTTTTTTTTTTTGAGACCGAGTCTGGCTCTGTGGCCCAGGCTGGAGTGCAGGGGCCGGATCTCAGCTCACTGCAAGCTCCACCTCCCGGGTTTACGCCATTCTCCTGCCTCAGCCTCCCGAGTAGCTGGGACTACAGGCGCCCCTCACCTCGCCCGGCTATTTTTTTGTATGTTTTAGTAGAGACGGGGTTTCACTGGGTTAGCCAGGATGGTCTCGATCACCTGACCACGTGATCCGCCCGTCTCAGCCTCCCAAAGTGCTAGGATTACAGGCTTGAGCCACCGCGCCCGGCCTCTAAAGCATATTTTTAAACTGTCCACTTCTCTCACTCCCAGCATTACCACTCTAGTCCAAACAACCATTATCTCTCGCCAGGATGATTGCAGTACCTTTCTAACTGGCCTCTTTTCCTCCTCTGTGGCCCCTTTGCAAAATATTCTTCATCCAACAGTCAAAGTTGTTTTCAAAAATTTCCTTTGGCAAAATGTTGTTATTCCAAATTAAAGGACAGTATGTGCCTAGGTCAAGAAATCACCTTAAAACTTAGTTAAGAGATGAACTTATATTAAGCTCAGCACACGCAATGGAGAAAAAGGGCATGAGGCTCTTGAAATAGGCAACTATCTCTTCATTCACATACCTAGAATAGTTTATATAAAAAAGGAGATATTTAGTTAGTAAAGCATCTTATAGGATGATAAGCAGAATGATTAATGAATCCACTTGTGTGCATAAGCAAAAAAAAATTAACATTACAAATCAAGAGCAAATTCAGAATAATTTTGTCAAATGGATGTGGAACCTAATATTAATTAGGCAAAACCACTGATGTGTTTCTAGTTGAGCAAACACAAACAAGACATGACACACATCTGGGGTTCTCACCAAATTTTCAAGGCTTGTTTACTAGGAAAAAAATTAGAAAATAAGTTTTATAGCATATTTATGTATGTTTCTGATTACTAAGGCTATATATCCATGGGCGTGGTTCACAAAATACTGCCAGGAGTGGCGGCTCACACCTGTAATCCCAGCACTTTGGGAGGCCCAGGCAAGTGAATCATGAGGTCAGGAGTTCGAGACCAGCCTGACCAACACGGTGAAACCCCGTCTCTACTAAAAATACAAAAATTAGCTGGGCGTGGTGACGCGCACCTGTAACCCCAGGTACTCAGGATGCTGAGGCAGAAGAATTGCTTGGACCCAGGAGACTGAGGTTGCAGTGAGCCGAGATTGTGCCACTGCACTCCAGCCTGGGCGACAGAGCGAGATGCTGTCTCAGAAAGAAAAAAAATAAAAATAAATAAAAAAACAATAAAAAATCAATTAGCCTGACACCTGCAAGTCTCATTCTCTTAGAAGGGGAGCCCTAATAAGTGTTCCTTTTTCTGTTGGCCTTTCCATCTTTTGCAAATTACAGGAAGCAACAAGACCATCTGGACTGAACTGCGGAAAAAGTATTGGTAATATGAAAATCACAGGAATTTGGGGACATAGTGGGTCACCATGAAATTTTGGAAGTTAAATCATTCAACCAATAAACAAATGAAAGATAATGATATTATCAGATACTTAACATAGACTTTAGATAGCAGATTAAATATATATATTTTATATATATATATGTATTTATATATATATATATATTCCTAGGGTCAGAAACTCTCAAGAAGAAAATCACTCATACAGATGAAAGAATGTGTCAAATGAACATCTGGCACACAGTTCTTATGGGTACATAGGGAACTCTCTGATTATCCCAGATCTAGATAAATAGTATTTCTAGTGATAACCAAAGTAAGTATCACTCATACAAATCAGAAAATATCATGAATTTTCCTTGAGTCTTCCACTTTTCTCCTCACAGCATATTCAGTCTTTCTCATATTCTTATAGCTTTATGCCAATCTTTTTCACACCATTAATAATGAGACCAGCCTATCATCTTTTACAAAGCTTTCAAATATCTGAGCTTATTTAAAATGCTATAAGATAGTTAATACTTCTAACTCATACTTAGTTTATACTGGTATTTATTTATTTATTTTAAATTTACATAAAGAATGTAAGAAAGAAGTACTGATTATCTACTTGAGGAAGATAGTGTAATGATAGCAGAAAATATTTTTAAAATTCAACAAATGCTCATTATACACCACTTTGTGTCAAGCCCATTGTTAGGCCTTGGGGATATAGCAGTTACAGAAACAATTGCAGTGTGTCACTATATAGTAAGAGAGCTATTTTGATTTTGGTGGTCAAGGCAGACCTTTCTGGAAAGTGATGTTTAAATTACTGCCTTAAAGGAAAGAGAAACAAATCCCATGATCAAAAAAAAAGTATGATTGGCAAGTCTACAGCCTATGGAAGTAGACTTGGACATGCTTCAGAAAGAGTTTAAGACCACAGAGAGTTTAAGACCATAGCTGGAACATAATGAGTAAGAAGTAGAAATTAATGAAATGAAGTCGGAGAGGTAGGCAGTGCTGGTTCCTACAGAATTGTCTAGGGTAAGAAACTTGGATTTGATTTCCAGGGCAATAGGAAGTCACTAGGTAATATAGTTTGGATGTTTGTCCTCTCCAAATCGCACATCGAAATGTGATCTCTAATGTTGGAGATGAGGCCTGGTGGGAGGTATTTGGGTCATAAGGACAGATCCCTCATGGATGGCTTGGTGCCTTTCTCATGATAACGGGTGAGTTCTCACTCTGTTAGTTCACACAAGAGCTGGTTGGTTAAAGGAGCCTGTCACCTCCCCCCTACTCTCTCTTGCTCCCTCCTGCCATGTGATTGTGAGGCCTACTCAGCCATGTGGAACTGTAAGTCCATTAAACCTCTTTTTCTTCCCAGTCCTGGGTATGTCTTTATCAGCAGCATATAAAGGGATTACTACAGCCATTATGGAGAACAGCATGGAGGATACTAAAAAAATTAAAACAGAACTACTATATGATGCAGTAATCCTACTTCTAGGTATATATTCAAAGGAAATGAAATTAGTGTCTCAAAGAGATACCTATGATCTCATGTTCACTGCATTATTCAAATAGCAAAGATATGGAAACAAACTAAGTGCCCATCTGCAGATGAATGCATAAAGAAAACATACATTGGAGAAAGGGCGTCCTACACAATAAATGGTGTTGGAAAAACTGGATAGCCACATGCAAAAGAGTGAAACTTGATATCTATCTCTCATCATCTACAAAAATCAACTCAAGATGGATGAGACTTAAATCTAAGACTCAAAATCATAAAATTTCTAGAAGAAAACTTAGGAAAACCACTTCTGGACATTGGCTTAGGCAAAGAATTTATGGCTAAGACCCCAAAAGCAAATGTAACAAAGACAAAAAATAAATAAATAGGACTTAATTTAACTAATAAACCTTCCACACAGCAAAACAAATAATCATCAGGGTAAACAGACAACACACAGATCGAGAGAAAATATTTGCAAACTATGCATCTGACAAAGGACAAACATCCAGAATTTACCAGGAAGTTAAAAAAAAAAAAAGAGCAAGGAAAAAAAATCCCATCAAAAAGTGGACAAGAAAGGATGTTTCTCAAAAGAAGATATACAAATGGCCAATAAACATATGAAAAAATGCTCAACATCACTAAGCATCACAGAAATTCACATTAAAACCACAATGAGATACCCCCTTACCCCAGCCAGAATGGCCATTATTAAAAAGTCAAAAAACAATAGCTGTTGGCATGGATTTGGTAGAAAGGGACTGCTTATACACTACTGGTCAGAATGTAAATTAGTACAACTCTATAGAAACCAGTATATTAGATGTCTCAAATAACTAAAAGTAGATCTACCATTCAATCCACCAATCCCGCTACTGGGTATCTACCCAAAAGAAAAGAAGTTATTACATTAAAAAACACCTACAAACATGTTTATCCCAGCACAATTCACAATTACAAATTACAAAGTGAGTGGATAAAGAAAATGTGGCACATATACACTATGAAATACCTAGCTGTAAAAAAGAATGAAATAATATCTTCTGCAGTGATTTGGATGGAGCTGGAGGCTATTCTAAGTAACTCGGGAATGGAAAACTAAATACCGTATAAATTCACTTATAATTGGGTGCTAAGCTATGGGTATGCAAAGACATACAGAGTGGTATAATACATGCTGGAGACTCAGAAGAGGGGAGGGTGGGAGATAAGGGCTTGAAAAGTATATTCTAGGTACAATATACACTACTCGGGTGATGGGTGCACTAAAATCTTAGACTTTACCACTATGCGATTCATCTATGTAATCAAAAACCACTTGTACCCCAAAAGTTATTGAAATAAAAAAGATTAAGAAAGTAGGCAAAATGCATGAGGAATTATTCACAAAACAAGAAATTCATATGGCTGATAAATATAGATTAGCCATAATGGGTCACACACACACATGCATATACACACATGCATACACACACACACATGCACACACACACACACTGTGATACTCAAACACATGAGTAATCAGTGAAATAAAAATCAAGAGCACAAAAAGGAAATGTAGAATATATATGTGCAATGAAACATTAGTCAGTCTTAGAAAAGGAGATCCTGTCATTTGCAACAACATGAATGAACTTAGAGGAAATTAAGTTAAACAAATAAGACATA